GTCGAGCGCAGTCCTAATCTCGTCGTCGCCTACACATCATCCTCAAATAATCATGTGATCCGTGATTGTTTATTTGGTTTGGCTCAAGATAATAGTCCTGTGACTGTTGCGCTGGGTTATGAGCCTGGTTGCTCAAGCCTCGAGGTTAGTAGTGCAGTGAATTCGTACTTCGAGTCAGACGCGGACATCGCGAGTCAGAATCTCCCTGAGTTCCTCAGGGAGTCAGGTCAGAAAGTTAGACTGGATAGACTTGCGCTTGAATTTTTCCCCGCTGAAGCCGCGGAGGAGAGTTCGAGGCGATGTGGGCGCGATCATCGGTGATGGCGACTCGCTACAGTCTCTAGGGAACGCCTGCGAGATGAGGAGCAAGATGCCCTGGAACAAATCAACCTACCCTGCGAGCCGAAACGCGCAAATAAGCGAAGGAATGCGTGGTTGCAGATCCCGCTCCGCGCAAGGATCGCCATTCGACGACTGCACAGACAGTTTTGGTCATGTGCCTCATCGTGTTCTCGTGCAGCCGTTGAGAATCTCCAGGATGTCATCGGACTACGTTGAAGCCGCCGAGGGTTATCGATGTGAACCTTGCGAACATCATAAACCGCTGGCTCAGACTCACAAGGCTGTCTTGCCCAAGAAGTTCTGCTTCAATCATGAGATCGGCACCGGCTGTCTAGAGGTGAAAGACAACAGTGGGGAACGCTACACCTTCTGGAACACAGTGCGCCAGCGTGCAACATGTCAGCGCGTGGTCTTTGTCAAGCAGGGAGGCGGTGCGCCTTCTTCGAGAGTGCGCCCCGCTGCACTTCAGCAACACTTGTGCGCATAGGCAGGTTGCACCGAGAGAATGGCGCTGGGCCGTGGACTGCACAACAGGCGAGTGTTTCCGCAATGGGGTAAGAGTCAAGGGGTCGACCTCCGCGACGCCGGAGTCGAGTCCCCCGAGCAGATAAGGCCGCACCGAGAGACATGGACCATGTCTCTCGGTGGACTTTGGAAGAACATTTTCAAGAAGGTTGCGCGCGACAAGACTGCTTCCGGACTCGATGAAGTCATCTCTCTTGCGTCAGAAGTCGACAACACGAAGAATGATATGTTACGAGTCGGCGGTTTCAGTGGGCACTCGGAAAGATGCCTCGTGTCCCAGGGAGGCAATCCGACGACGAGGAAGTTTTCGACTTGGGAGTGCCTGCGAATGTTGCAGAGGACGGGGCCTACGAGTTTTATCGCCAGGCTGCGGTCCGGGCGTCTGCCAGAAAAGCATTTGCAGAACGCGACGTCGGGAGTGGGACGGCAAGGGCCGCTCTCCGAAAGGCAACGCCGCTAGCTGGAGAATCTCAGGAAGGTGATGCAGCATGCTTGTGCACGAGGCCGACCGACGGCGAGGTTACCGCTAAGTGGAGCACTGGTTCTCGTATCGTTGGATTCGATGGCAAGAACGCATGGGTGATCAGAGAGGGTGTACCTGTCTGCACGGCTGTCGACAGGCTTCGACCGTGCACTGCGGCGGAAGAGTTGGCTTACCAATATCTCTAAGCACCATGGCGGTGGTGTTGAGATGTATGCGCCTACAGACGGGCAACAGCAGTCATTCGTGGTCGAGTGACGTGAGCTGCCAGAACGACGTGCGCAAGAGCATCCTGCGCAAGAACATCCCATGACGCCGGAAGAGCTGCCGGGGATCCCAGAAGACCCCGAGTTCGTAGAATAACCATTTAGCCAATTGGAAAAAATGAGCTGTCAGATGGAATGATCTTTCCTGCGCCACCCGCGTCGAGGTCGACACAGGTGACTCGAACGCCTCTTCAGAGGTCGTTACTAGACGACGCCCCGCACGGTATACAGAGTCGTAACGAAGTGATGCGCAGAAGAGTCGAGAATGCCGATGGTAGCACGGGGAGGGTTGCCGATTCTGTCTCGGAGCCAGCTCCCGAGCCAGCGAACCCACTTCTTGAGGCCATGCGCAGGGCCGGAACATAAGGGCTGGGCATGGATCTTCTAGCTCGTAGAGAAGCTCCGCTCGCTGTTAAGCCCCATGAATCGCTTGTCGGAGTGTTTAATGAACGCACCGTTCATAAGCCGCAGTCTAATAAGAAGCTAAGGAGTGCAAATGGTCTACCAACGGGAATCTGAGGACGTTAAGAGCAGTGTACGACTGGCAAGACAAGACGAATGGGAAAATTGGCGGAAGGTCAACGCCCCCGTGCCTATAAATTTTGTGGAGTTGCAAAACCTCTTCGACGAAGGATACCGCATGGTACGTACGCAATGGATTGAGTTTGACAAGAATGAACATCTCCGTGGACCGGGTGGACCTCCTGTTGCACCACAGTACAAGGGTAGACTTGTCGTGCGTGGAGATCTGGAAGTTGGGCATCCGCGCGGATTCACCAACGTGCGAACTGCCGGTACGCAGAAGACGCTCAAGCGTGCCGACATTACATCTGCGTGCTTCCAGGGGCAGGAACTCGACCGCCTCATGCTGCTCAAGCCACCGCCCGTCGGACTCGGAGGGGAACCGGATGGTGGGGCACTGATCGAGCGTGTGCCTGCACATGGCGCGCGTGACGCAATACGAGGTTTGTGGGCGAAAATCCGCAGAAGGTTTGGAGCTCATGGTCTGAAGGGGAATCGTATCATGCCTGCTTTGTTCAGTATTCACAATGACAAGAAGGAGATCACGTGTATGTTAGGCACACAGGTGGATGACATACTGCGGGGTGCGGATGATGAGAGTCAGAGAATCATCGGTTCGGTATGAGCAGAGTGTTAGACTCACGAGATCAAGCCGGATAATTTCTGTCATTGCGGCTCGGAAGTTGTTCAAAATGAAGACGCCACGGTGAGTATCGCGGCCGAGGACAATATTGAGAAGATCGAGGCTGTGTCATATCCTAGAGACAGCCCCCTCGCGAGAAAATGCAATGGGGGCGCGACAACACAGCTTAGATCGGTCGTAGGTGCTTTATCATGGGTTACACGTCGGTGTAAACCTGAGCTATTGTATCGTCTGAGCAAACTGCAGACTGCAGCGCGTCACGCTAAGGTACTTCACCTCAAGGAAGTTAACCGTGCATGAGAAGAAGCAACTCAGTTCGCTGACTGCGGGCTAGTATTCAAAGGTGGAACTGTTAAGTGGAATCAAGATATGATTGTTCTTACTGCTACTGACGCCAGCTGGGCAGGAGAAGAGGACCTAGTCAAGGGTAGAATCGGGCCTCTGAGGTCACAGAGGGCTATGTTCATTGGACTCGCAGGGCCTGGATTCATCAAGGGGAGCAGCGATTATGTTCACCCTATATGTATATCTAGTAAAGTTTTCAAGCGAATGTGTAAAACTACACTACAAGCAGAGACCCTGGTTTGTTTATGGGGTGTAGAGTCTGGTGTGCGCATTCGTGCCGCCATCGCACATGCGTATTTTGTGATAAGGTCCGATGGACCGATACAAGTGTTATGGCTGTTGATTGTCTGACGAAGAATTTGCCTACGGATTTCCTTGTTAAGATCTTACGTACACGTTCGTATGAAATAGTGCATGTGTCACGCGTGTATATGCACTACTCGCTGCCGTTTGATCTCTAGGGCCCCCTTTTTGCCACTGCGCTAAAACGCATCATAATCACAAGGCTGGTTGCTGAAGAATCGACCCTTGGACTAGCCCATGGGGGGCGTCCCGGCCCGAGCTCCGAGGCGGCTCCCGCCGTGCCCGCGATGGGGGCCCGGCCCCGGCGGGCGCGACAAAAAATCACACGGCCACGCCGAGCTCTCGATCCTCGATTTGTCCTCTCGCCGCCCCAACTTCTCTGAAGTCAGAAAAGGCATACCTCTACCTTTCGCCCGTTTTCCTTTTTTGGGGCCTCATGGGAGACCCTCGTCGCCACCGCTGGATTCGCCTCGAAGTTCTGGTCAAAAGGCGCCCCGGGAGAGGTCCGGGGGGTAATGGTGTCGGTGCCGCTTGGTTTCCCCATGATGAGGCCTTGGGACACACACGCACACAAACACACATATATATATATATATATATATATATATATACACATATATATACACACATAACAGGAGTCTTCGTACTTTTCCATATGCTCCTTGGGTTCTCGTCTCCCCCCACTTCCCCGATTATCCCATATCTTGTGGGGAACCGACGATGAATTGTGTTTGTGTGTTTGTTACCCTCCTGATTATCATCCTCGATCGTCCTCGATCAGCTTCTGCATCCCCGACGCCTCGCCGATGCACCGGCGATGCAGCGCTCCGCGCCGCGCCCGTTCGGGCAGCCTCTCTGGTGCAGCTGGCACGACGGGGGAGGACAAGCCTGGCTTCGCCTGGCTTCGGAGAAGGAGATTATTCGTGTTTGGGCCCTGCACCCTGGAGCGCTTTTCGTTTCGAGGGTGTCAGTTTGGCCTTGGGCCTTCGGCGAAGAGAGCCACGTCTCGACCGCGTCCTCTTTGTCCCCGCTGGCAGAAGGGCGCGGGCCCCCAGACTGTGCGCTGTGCTGCTTCACAGCGTGGAGCCCTGGACGTCAAGTCGTCAGGAATGGACGCTGGACACCCGAGCGATGACCCAAAAGTCGGACCCCCTCGCGTCGTTTAAAACAACACATTTCCCCGGGGGGCGTGAGGCCCAGACCCCCTCGAAACTCGCAGTTTTCGCGCTCCAGGGGGGTGCCCATGGCGGGTCTCGAGACCATGAATGGTGCGGCTGCTGGAAAGCAGCATCTCGAGGCTGCAAACCATCCGGACATCTTCGAAGATGAATCTCGAACATTGGACCTCAGGCCCCCCAATATTCTGCGGGCTGAGGAGGGGGAGGAGGAGGAGGAGCAGGAGGAGTAGGAGGAGGAGGAGGAGGAGGAGGAGGAGGAAAAGGAGGAGGAGGAGGAGGAGGAGGAGGAGGAGGAGGAGGAGGAGGAAGGGGAGACTCAGGAGGAGGAGGAGGAGGAGGAGGAGGAGGAAGAGGAGGAGGAGGAGGAAAAGGAGGAGGAAATGGAGGAGACTCAGGAGGAGGCACGGCCAAGAAGGACGGCGGGACAAGAGTGTTGGCATGCGGGGCCATCTCGCGGCGCATGGTGGCCAGGGCCGTGTGCACCGTCCGCTCCGACAGCATCCAGAGGGCTGTCTCCGAGCTCCAGTACGGGGTTGGGGTCCCGTGCGGGCTCGAGACGCTGCACAAGAGCATCTCCACTGATGCAGAACAGTGCCCAGACTTGGCTTTTGTGTCCCTGGATCTCAAGAGTGCGTTCACTCGCATGCGTCGGAGGGAGGTGCTGCGCGGGGTGTGGGAGCGCTGCCCGGAGCCGGAGGGCCTGGTGGTGCAGTGGTACGGTCGTGCGACAGTGCATTCAGCTGCGGGGGCCAGCGGGGTGTCCCACCTGGTGGAACAGCAGCAGGGCCTCGACCAAGGGTGCCCCCTCAGCCCGGCGCTCTTTAGCATCGGCCTCGCTCTGGAGCTCTGCGCCCTGCGGGACTTCCTGCGCACCCTGGACCCTCGCTGCAAGGTGTGGGCCTACCTGGACGATGCCTACCTGACAGTGCCGAAGGCGCACCTGCGCCGGGCACTGGAAGCCGCAAACGCTCTCTTCGCCGACTTGGGCCTCGAGCTGAAAACGAGCAAGACGAAGATCTGGTGCCCAGACGGCCAGGTCGCTGCGCTGCCTGACGGGACAGGGGCGTGGGTTGTGGACGCACTGCCCTGCTTGGGTAGCACTGTGACCTTCGTGAGGGCCCAGCACGACGCGGACGACGAGGAGAGGAGGGACACGCTCGCAGAGGTTTTCGGCGAGACCTCCCCAGCCACCTCGGCCGCGCGGCTTGCCGACTACGGAGAGGCGCTCGCCAAGCTGGAAGCGGCGGGGCTCGAGAAACACCACTGCTTCACACTTCTCCGCACCCACGTAAACGGCGCGGTGACGCACATGCAGCGCGCCCGCCTTGCGCCGAGGGGCCGGGCGTTCCTTCGACGACGCGGTAGTGGCGCAGGTCGAGCGCTTGGCCGGCCCGGGCCTCACTGAAGACGGCCGCGCGGTCCTCTTCCTTCCCGGGAAGGCAGCGGGGGCCGGCTTCGGGTCCGCGGAGCGCCTCGCCGACGCGGCCTGGCTGGGCTCCTGGCGCGCCGTGCAGGACGCGGTGCGGGCGCGACAGGAGAAGCCAACCTTGGCGGAGGCAGAGGCCGCGACGCCGAGGCTGACGGCCGCTGCGGCAGAGGCGAGGGTCCGCCTCTGGGCAGGGGAGGCCTCCGCGCGCGCCTCGCCGAGCCCGCGGCGGAGCTCCTCCTGTCCCAAGGCGGGACTGGCGCAGTGGTGTTGCAGCCGCCGAGCTCGCCGCAACACCTTTTGGCAGACGACGAGTTCGCGGTCACGCTGCGGCGGCGCCTGCTGTACCTCGATCCACACGGCAGAACCCCACGCGAGGCACGCGGCCGTCTGCAACGTCGGGCCCGGCTTCGTGCGCCGGCACCACGGCGTCCGCGACCAGTTGGGCGATTGGTTGGCGGAGCGTTATGGCTCTCACTCCGCGACGATTGAGCAGCGCATCCCATCCTAGGACGCAGTGGCCGCGGAGGGCACCCAAGCAGCCGCCCTCGACGTGGTCCTGGCGCATCCGGGCGGGCGCGCGCGCATCGGCACGAGCGTGGCCGAGGCCATCGCCGCCGAGGGAGTGACCGCGCGCCGGCGCGCCCGCGTCGCCGGCGCAGCGGCCTGGGAGCGGGAGCAGGAGAAGCACTCCCGCTACCCTGGCCCTGGCCTGGTGGTCGCGGTGGTGGGGAGCGGCGGTCGCCTGGGGCGCGAGTGCGCCCAGGTGGACCCCGAGACCAGGGCCGCTGCCTTCGCCGACGCGAGGCAGCGCGTGGTCGTGGCCGTCGCGGTTGCACTGCGGCGATGCTGCTCAGCAGCGCCGGGGCGTTCGCGAGGCCCTGGCCGTCCCCCGCCCAAGGGCTGGGCCGCGGCCGGGCCCGCCGGTGAGCTGAGCCTCGCCTGCCCCCCCTCTTCCGCTCCTCCTCCGCCTCTCTCTCCTCCCCCTCAGGCAGTGTTACTTAATTAACTCCTCCCCCCGCGCCCCACCCTCTGCTCTCTGCGCTGCTTGCCTGCTCCCCCTCCCCCTCGTCCTGTGTCCCTCGTCCCTCCCTTCTCGTGCTCTCCTGTTTCTCCTGGCTCCGTGGCCTCCCTCGCTCTTCTCGCCCGTCCCCGTCCTCCGTCTGGTCCGCGCCTCGCCCCCGTCTGCTTGCTGGGGGGCGCGGTGTTTAATTTATTGGGGGTGTCAGCTGTAGACTCCGTAGGGTGTCGCGGAGATTGTCCGGAGTGGCGCAAGGCCGCGCTTGCCAGCTTGCCCGGCAGGGTCGGCGGGCCCAGCGCCAACGCCAGACGGCCTGCATCAGCAGCCAGGCAGCAGATCGGACGTGCAGTCTCGCCCCCTGCTACTGCCTGCTGGCCCGCCTATGTCCTCTCCTTTCTTGGCAGGAGGAGGAGGAGAAAAAGGAGGAAGAGGAGGAGGGAATGGAGGAGACACAGGAGGAGGAGGGGGAGGAGGAGGAGGAGGAGGAGGAGGAGGAGGAGGAGGAGGAGGAGGACGAGGAGGAGAAGGAGGAGGAGGAGGAGAGGAGGAGGAGGAGGAGGAGGAGGAGGAGGAGGAGGAAGAGGGGGAGGAGAGGAGGAGGAGGAGGAGGAGGAGGAGGAGGAGGAGGAGGAGGAGGAGGAGGAGGAGCAGGAGGAGGAGGAGGAGGAGGAGGAGGAGGAGGAGCAGGAGGAGCTCGAGAATCGAGGGCCGAGGTTTTTCGCACCCGCTTTGGGGGCCTCCGAGGAGGCCTGTCGTCACCACGGCTGAATTCCGTTATGGAAGCTCTGGGCTAAACAGACTCTGAGACTCTGGGACAGGTCTTTTGCACGACTGCTGGGGAGAAGGAGGAGGAGGAGGAGGAGGAGAATGAGGAGGAGACGGAGGAGGAAGAGGGGGAGGAGGAGGAGGAGGAGGAGGAGGAGGAGGAGGAGGCTGTCCAGTAGGGAGGATGAGGATGCGGAGGAGGAGGAGGACGACGACAAGGAATACGAGGAGGAGGAGGAGGAAGAGGTGGAGGTGGAGGAGGAGGTGGTGGTCCCAGACGTCTTCAACACATCAAGGCGGCTGGCTCCTCCACTGTTCTGGCACCTGGGGCCGGTAGTGGGCCACAGGGCCATCAACGAAATACTTGGCACCGATGGAAACGGGCCCCAGGGAGGCGGCCGACGATAATTACTGGGGGGGCATGCTCTGAGAGAGGTGTGGCGTCGGATGCCCCTGGGGACGAGGATGACTACGAGGAGGAGGAGGAGGAGGAGGGGAGGGAGGAAAAGGCAGGGCAGTACGAGGAGCAGGAAGAGGAGGAGGAGGAGGAGGAGGAAGAGGAGGAGGAGGAGGAGGAGGAGGAGGAGAGGAGGAGGAGGAAGAGGAGGAGGAGGAGGAGGAAGAGGAGGAGGAGGAACCTGTGCTTCCACGTCCCCGCAACGGCGTTTTTCCCATAGCTTGCTGCCGCCGCTGGCTGCTGTCGCCGCCTGCTGCCGTTCTGGCACCGCCTGTGCCCTTTGATTTTGGCCTGGACTTTCTCTCTGCGGCCAGCCTCTCCCAGATCGCCTTCTCAATTCCTGCTCGAGTCAGTCCGCTCGCGCTCGCCCGATCCCGACATCCTGGCCTATGAACTTATCAAAGCCCCTGAACCCTTTCACGGCAACAATAATGAGAAGCCATAAGAACATCTGGTGATATTTTCACACCGCTGGCGCGCTCGACTCAAGGGCCCTTGCAGTGTTTGGGCCAAAATGTAACAGTACGCTCGCTATTCTACAGTCATGCTCTGCACAATATCACAACATGTACAGCGTAGATATCACACCCGTGAAAGAGTAACAAAAATAGAAGAGGGAGAAGCTCTCCCTTCAATATGACATGTGAAGCCCGAACCTCCACAGGTAAATGTCTTAAACATGTTATGCACAAGCTGCAGCGACTGCATAAACCAACTGCGTAAAGCTGAAATGCAAAACCTGCACACATATGAAATACAAACCTGCGTCTGCAAACTGAATATGATGTGCATAGCTGGCAATAAAAACTGAACGTGGGAAAATCATCTGAAGCTGCGCTGGTGTGTTGGCTCACTCACTGCAACCCTTGGGGCTGTCGTCTGCTGCCCGATCGTAGCCGTCCTGCCACTGGTTGGGTTCAGTCGTCTCCACTGAAACTTCGCCTGATCGCTTGAATCCGTTCATCTTGTGACAGCATCGCCACAGATCTCCCTGCAGCCGGTAGGTAGCCATACTTTGTACGCCGACCGTCCGCCGTCGCACCTGCTTGTGGTTGTTGCTCGTCTTCTTGAGGTGGATGGTCGTCTCCTTGTCGATGCTGGTCGTCGCTGTCTCCTCGGTCGTTTCGTGCTTGTTGTTGGTTTCGGTCTGGTACTTCACACTGGATAGGCTCTCGCAACATGTAGTAGACTGCTGGAACTGCCGCTGCCATTCCAATTATAGTAAACGTGAATGCATCCAAAATGCCTCCAGAAAACCACGAACACTTCGCGATCTCGTCATAGTAGTACTTGTACTCTGTGTGGTAGTCGAACTCTGGAGTGTAGGTTGCCGCTGACTTGCAGCAACACGTCGCAACAATTGCCAATTGCATGAGTGGTGATCTCGCCTTAGTAGCTGATGATGTCTCCATCTTACTCTTCTTGATGATCTCCTGTCGCTCCTCCTTGGTCTTCTTATTGGCTGCCGTATAGGTAGGGTCATGCTGTAGCTGAAGTCGTCCAGCTCGAAGTCTGTCTGCGAAGAGCTGCCTGCCTTGCCGCTGACTTCGTGAGACCATTCGCATACTGCCGCTCTGGTGAGACCCACTTCCATTGCGTCTGTGTAGCATCGATCCGTTTTCGTAGTGCCAGTACTTCGATGTCGGTGCGCTTGTCCTGGAAGCTGGTGATGCTCTCCTTCTTGGCTGCGTCGTAGAGCGCCTTCGCGTCGATCACGAGTGCTGACTATCCTGCGTAGTGCGTGCTCTCGTCAACGTTGACGTTCACGTTGTCGTAGATGAGGGCTGCCCAGAGTCGCTTCGCAAATTCTAGTGCGCCCATGCCTGCTGCCGCTGCTTGGGATTCTGCATGTAGTGCTGACCTGGCTAGTCTCATCAACTTGAAAGACTTCCAATCAACAACGCAGAAATCTGAATCCTCGCCGTCAAGTGCTTTCGAGTGGCATGCCATAATCACAGATCCTCGTTGACTAGATCCGTCTTGTTGTGCTCCCCAAGCTGCGTCCGTCATCGCTACGAGCACGATGTCGCTGACCTTACCGATCTTCTTCATTTTGAGACCGACGTCCGCGTTCTTCTTGTAGAACCTTAGCGTCTTATTTACCTCTCTCGCTGTCGCCACTGTCGCCGTTGGAAGCTGCCCTTGGTGAGTGCTGACCGATGCTGACGTGTGTGGGCGTGCTTGTGAACTTGGCCACTGTAGGGCTCCAAGTAGTCCTCGAAGTTGGCGTATCTCCTTTGGCGTGAGTAGTCGGTCGTTGTTGCCGTCCCTCTGATCAATCGTGATCGGTTTGAGGTTGGAGGCGTCGGATTGCATCTTGATGTTGATCTCAGCGCCGTTGGAGTGCGTGCTGTCCCAGTGAGTGGTCTGGTGTAGGTCCGATCTGCAATACTCGATTTTGTCCTCCTCTATTCTCTTCCGAAGCTTGAATTTGCTCTTGACTGCCTCGATGATGTTGCTGTAGTTGCTGCCGGGCCTGCGATCTCCTCCTCCGAGCATGTCGTCTACGTAGAGTAGGATAAACCCGTCGCAGCTGCCGTCGTTGTCGTAGCTAACGAAAAGGCATGGGTCCAGGGGATGCTGCTTGAGCCCGCTGACCTTGAGGTCGTCAACTGCTCGTTGCCACCGACGTCGTGGTGCGTCCACTTGTCCGTACTTAGACTTGATCAACTTCATGAGCGTGTCCGGTTCGATGCCCATGAGGTTGCTGCGTCTCTGGCACTTTGGCGAAGAGTATTCGTTCTTGCGGTCGTCCCTGTAGAATGTGGTTGCCACGTCCGCTGTCCACAATCTCCATCCATTGCTTGCTGCCAGTAACATAGCCAACTGTCGTCCCAATCGAGATGCTGTAGGTGATGCCGTCGGTAATTGCCGTCGAATGCGTCTGGGTCGTTAAAGCCTTGTAGTACTAGACGTGCCTTGGCCCTCGGTGTGC